CTTTGGGCCCCTTATTTCAAAGGAGCAGCCAGCAAAGCAGGAGCAGGGGTAGACCTGAATCTTGTCTGAATCAGAGAACCTTGATTTTCAAGAGACTGCTCAAGTTTCAGAGATTTCCCAAATCTGACAAAATAATCAACTGTTCAGTTTGCCTACTTTTTTTTTTGGTTTTTCTCCGGTACCGGGAACCGAACTCACGACCTTGCGCTTGCCAGGCAGATGCTTTGCCACTGAGCTAAATCCCCAGCCCCAGTTTACCTACTTTTTACAGCATGAGCTCCAGCCAGTCTGGAGAATGCTGTGACAGCTGATGGCTTACCATATTTTGCTTTCATCCAGGAGGGGTCTCGGATGCTTCACCATGGATGAGGCTGGTGAACATTTTTGGAGAAAGGGCTCAAGAGAATCTTAGCAGACTGCAAATAGTACCTGAGAAATGAGATACTGAGTGGCCAGGGTAATGTCCTAGACGTCACGTCAGACAGTTTACATTCATTCCATAGGCAACAGCTCATCCAACCCTCAAGCTGAGTAAAGGCCTGGATGCAGCATAAACAAAGTCATTGATTAGATCTGGAGGAAATGATCATTTTCTTTTCACTCCATACCTTCATCTGTAATTGTAACTGTGCTGCTGAATGACCATCACCTGTTAAGACACGACACAGGGAAAGATGGCAAGTGGAATGTTGGGGTGAACCCAAGTTCCACCCTTTGAAGAAACGCCACTTGAGCTTTCAGCACAGTGACCAAAGATATGGGGACATCATCACCAGGCATCAGGAAGCTCATCAACCATGCAAGGCCATGCTGGGAAGACAGCACAAATCACTCAGTTCCCTCGGCCGCATCTTAACTGTGTTGTGTTTGACCGACTTTGGTGTAAACTAAACTGTGTTCAGTTTGTCTCTCAGCATTAAACTCTTTTGTTTTGTTTTTGTTTTTCTGCGGTGCAGGGGCTGGACTCTACACTGAGCTACGTCCTCAGCTCAATTCAAACTTATTAAACGGAGCGTCCTGTAATCTACTGTCAACTATCTACTCATCAGCACCCTAGACGGGAGGTTGGCTCATTTCTTTCTCTTGTCACTCACCAAAAAGAGCCAGGAGCTTTGATAAGGTCCTCGATGTAGAAGATCAGACAGATCCGAGCAAAGCTGCCAAGGGGGAAGTGGCCTGTCTTAAATTCTGGAAGCACGACAGGGATACAAATCAACCCCCGAAAAAGTCATCAAATTTTCAAAGTCATCAGATTTCCCAAAATCTGCCCATGGAGTTACAGCTGTAGAGACAAGGCATAGAGAGAATTCGTTGACTACTAGCACTAATATCATTGGCTGCTTTCAATCAACCCCTCAGTCAGATTTTTAAAAAAAGAAGGGAAGCACCCATGATCACCATCTTGTGACTGTGACCAATTGCCCACTGAAGTTCTTCATGTCTCGAGCCTCAGCAGGAAACCACTGAATCTATAACGTCCTGTCCAGCAGAAATGAGTCTGATTGTGGATGGCCTGGTTAACCCAGATTGCCTTTGGTGCCTGAGGGAGTTGATATTTTCTCATTACGAAGACATTCCCAGCTAGTGAACGCTGCAAATAAAACTGCTCAGAATCGGTCTGAACTGCCTGTTTCCGTGGTAGCAGGCCTCTGTCTGAAGGATAAATCTGCACCATCTTCTTTTGTTTGGGTTTCAGCCAGTTGTGTTACAAGGAGTTCCGAAATGAGCTCTAAGTGGCACCCGACAGGATGGGCTCGGGCAGTTGGACAGCGAAGCTTTGTCCCCCGTGGTACACGCACCCCTGGGGCAGACGGCAGTGTCTAAGAGAGAGCAATCAAAGAGACACAGAACCCATACTCCTAAATATTTATTTCAGTTGTTCATATTTCCCACACTTTTCAAATGTGAACTTGTGTCCTGAAGGTGGAGCTTTAGTACACAAGAAAATTGGGAAGGGGCGAACACGTTGTACAAAATGGGGTAGAATCAGGAAAGAATGCATTTTCATGCTTCCTAGTTGCCTACATTTTTCATGCCAAAAAGTAAGGACAGATTCTGATTTCTTTCACTGTAGGAGTCTGCATACAATTAAATGAGAGCAAAAAGAAGCTGCTTGAGAGAGTGGGGCTTATGGTCTCAGTAAGAATGAGGAGAAACTGTAGCCATCAAAGCCATTTATACTTCTGGCTGGTAGTATTTTTAAGATGTTGTTTTTTTTTTTTTTTTCAAAACGAGGCAGCAATGAATTGAGTAGTGATCAAAATGCCGCACCATAGAGTATGTTTAATCCAAATAGCTCCCAAGATGGTCTGCGACTGATTGTACCAACTCCGTGAGACTTAAGAGTTACCAGTGAAGTAAAACTATCTCTGGAATGGAATTGAAGCAAGTACAGACCACTGTGCTCTTCTATATTCACAGAGAAAACTGCCAACCGGCCAGCCCACAAACCTCCTACTATGTGCTGTAGAGGTCCATGAGCTCCAGCAGGGGCTTTTTATTGTCATGGTTTTGTTTTGGTGGGGTTTTTTGGGGGGAGGGTTGGTTTGTTTTTGTAGACACTCTTCTGTTTTCAGCAGTGCAAAAATTCTTAAGCCTTGCCAGGCTGTGGGAAATGAGACCTCCACTTCCACCACCATCACCGAAGCAGAAAGGGCAAGCTTATATCTCGGGAAAGCATTTGCTACCTACTGGCAGGCAAAGATAATGTTATCCAGTTTCAAACCAGGAGCTTATAAATGGAAAGATGACCATTCCGAATCCGGCATCCGAGAGTCTGCTGAAATGATACTATCTTTTTTTCAGTGCTTGGGATCAAACTTAGGGCTTCCTGCAAGCCAGACAAGCACGCTACCACTGAGGCGCACCCCCAGCCCTGACAGAACCCTTTAACTGCACATCTAGGGCAGAAACTCAGGCTTCTCGCCCCACCCCACTCTCCTTGCTTCCTCTTCCAGGGCTTCTGCCTCATGCTCAGGCCAGGGGAGAGCTAGGAGCACTGTCATGAAAGCAAAGAACCTCCTAGGGTGCCTCCTTCCGGGGCACTCAGCCTCTGTGAATCCCACCCACCCCATTCCCTCCCAGGAAGATTCCATTCAGAGCTGGGGACCTGGTAAAAAGGAACAAAGGGGCAGCAACCAGTTGCCCTCCGAAGCCTTGGGCCTGGTACAAGCCTGGGAGAGACTGAGGCTTATTTCCCAAGGGCCGCTAGGGGTCCCCAGCCCTCTCCCCACCTGCAGGAGAATGGGAGATAGCTGGGCATCTTCTGAGAAGTCCCCCTCCAAGAAACGAAGAGCCGGCTCCCTGGTGCACAATGGTTTGCTGTGTTCTGAAAAGTCTTGGTGGCTTGGGCCACCCCAGCCGATAGTGGCTCCCTGGCTGCGGTGGCAAGACTTCAGGGGATACCGAGGAGAGCAGTGGGAAATGACAGGCGTGTCTGTGGGGACAGGGAGTACCTGACTCCGAGATTAGAAGGCTGGTTGGGGCGGGAAGCGTTGGTGCTTTTTAACTTGGGGAACTTTCTGGTCTCACCGCAAAGAATGATGATCCCTGGAACTGTCATAATGGCCACAGGTGGCACTTGACGAGCGGGACAAGCCTAAGAGCCCCCGGAGCGAGATAGAGATTTGAATCTTGGCTCTGCTGTTTCCTAGCAGTAGGACCCTGGCAAGTTCCTTAGCCCCTCCAGGATCACTCTTCTCCCCAACTGCTAAGTAGGGATGATAACATTCACTAATTAATACGGTTATTAGGAGTATTAAATGAATCTTAATCCATGTGCTGCATTTAGAACAGCGCCCAGCACGTAGTAAGCGCTCAATAAACCTTCGCCGTGATCCTTAGGGTTAGGTAGCGAGCAGAACTTTCTAAGGGCTAGGTTTGAGAGCCTGGGACTCCGTTGCCAAGGGAGATGAGAAAACCTTTTCAAATATGGGCGCTCCAGCCAGGCCCCAGGATTGTCCAGAACGAGAGTGTGGCGCCTGCCACTTCCCCCACATGGCTCCTCCGACCCGGGAAAACCCACCCCCGTCGCAGGGGCGCACGGTCCCGCCGAGCCTCCAGCTTGGCCACATCTCCCGCGCGCCTCCTGGGGCCTCCCTCCCGCCGCTCCACACCTGTCAGCCGCCCGCGCAGCCTCGCAGTGGCCCGAGCCCCAGGCCTTGGCTGCAACCTCTTCGACCCCGGGGCCTCGCTCCCGGCGCCTGCACCCCCGCTCCAGCTGCTGTCGTAAACAAAACCCGGGCGTTGGAGCAGCCCCGCGGGCGGACCAGCGCGGGAGCCCGCTCAGTGCGCCGTGGCGCGCCCGGGAGCCCAGGGCGAGCCAAGGGGCGATGGTGGCGGCCGCGGCGACAGCGGCAGGCGACTCAGCTTTGTTATGAATAGATGAAAGAGGCCACCTACACAGTAACCCAAATTACGAGACCTCCCTCCTCCCCATCTCGCCGAATGGAGAGGGGAGGGGAGATGGGCGTGGAGGGAGGGCGGGCGGCCGCGCGGGAGGCGGAGGGCGGAGGAGGAAGAGGATGAGGAAGGGGGCCAGTTGCATCCCACTTCGACAATGGGAAAGTGAAACGCACAAGCGCACCCAACCTCTCCAGCCCTCCCCGCCCGCCGCGCTCCCCTCCGCCCGTCCCCTCCCTTCCCCTCCGCGCCTCCCCGCCAGCGCCCGCGCCGCACAGAGGAACTCTCGGCGAAGCAGGGCGAGGAGGAAGCGCAGCCGGAGCGCGCAGGGCTTGCAGCAGCCGCCGCCGCCGCCGCGCGCCCCGC